ACACAAATCCTTCTTATTTATATATTCCAAAAGATTATGTGATAAAATGTAGTCGTTATTAATACACATCAACATTGTTAGAATATGTTAGAAAGATTCAAACATTAGGAATTAATTCACAATGATTATCAGTTTTTCTTTCAACAAACTTTTAATTCTATGATTCTTGGATTTGTATTTCCTAAATATTTGTAAACTTTGTTTTACATTGCAAATATCAGATGATATAAATCATCGTGATCTTTTCAGATTTTTCTAGAACATCAAGCCAATATCTCCTTTTCACAAAAAAAATCCAAACCCATTCTATTCAATCTACGGATCGAAACAAAGAACTTTACAAGAAAAAAAAAGAGAGAAAAATGAAGACCACATATGTCATGTGTATGTATGTTCATTGTTTTCTTTTTCTCGTAGGTTCTTTTTTGTTTTGTTTTGTTTTTTTTTACAGTTAATATAACACACATACGGATAATAAATAGAAACAAGACACACACATGCGAACACATAGAAAATACTGTCAATCAGATTTTATTCATACAAAACCGAACATTTTGGTTTTTATCGCATATTTAAGTTTTAATTTTAAGATAGTTTTTGAAGAATATAATGGAACATATAAACGACTTATATATGTATTTGCTGTTGATAAATGTTGATCATCAGCTGGACGAATTATTACTAATAGTTGTGGTAGAAAACCACCTTCTGATGCGGATAAAGTTGGACAACTCGTCCAAAAATAAACCTTTAAAAAACACAAAATTTTATCTTGAAGATAAAACAATTATATATTTTTTACTCTTACTAAGTCTTGTCTTTTGACAGCATTGAATTTTTCTAATACAGACCAAAACCATTTTTTAAATTGATTAATTCGTACAGTAGTTTCACCTAAACGAAAAGAAAATTTATTTCGAATTTTCTCTTTTTCTGTTTTGTTTTAACTTCCCACTTTCATCATTAATTGTTGTATATGTCACTAATGTTGTTACATTTATATTACAGATACCATTTAAAAGAAGACGAAAATCTTCAGGACTTAAATAATCAAGTGATGTGGATGGTAATACATTAAAAACGCCCAAACGTAAATGCTAAACAAAAATAAAATAAAATAAAAAACTCGTTCTTTTTTTGATTATTTTGATTTATTTACTTGAAGAGATTGTTCAACAAGATTAATCATTCGAAATTCAGCATAACGCTTTATAAATTCGTATAGATTAGCTATGTTACATCTTTTGATGAACCATCAGGGACAAGATCATATGTTTTACCTACTAAAAACAACAAAATATTAATTTATTTATTCAATTAAAATAGAAAATATAAACCTCTTTTTCAGTAACAGTCATTGAAAATATTAAATGAAGACCATTTATATATTGTGATCCATTTTTTTTTGCATCATATGCAGTTCAACGTAAGTTTTCATAGATAGTTGAATCAAAAAAAGCTAAATCATGGCAACGTATTTGTCGATTTAAAATATATTTTATCACATGACAACGTAATAGTAATGGAAAAGTTCATTTTGTAATAAACATAAACCAATTAATCTAAAAAGAGAAGAGTTTAGTTTTTAATCAAAGTTTATTTTTTATTTCTTACCTTCCAACATTTCGATAAGCAGTTAAACGGTCAGATGTATATTTTTCTGGTTGTGGTGCATAAACACCTTTTTTATCTGGCTACCAAAATAATGGTGCATATTCATTTGCTTGTTTATCAAATAATGAATTTTTATTTGTTAATAAACGTTCATTTGTTGTTGTTAATGAATCATTTTGTTGTCCATCACGTGTACTATGTGATGTTAATATATTCATAGCTTCTTCAACTTTAATTCTTAAATCTTCATCTATATTAATAATACGTTGTAATTGTGGTGTTGGTAAACCTTCAAGTAACATTCCAGTAATTTTTTCAGCATGAAATCGTTGAATAGCTGCCACTTTTGGATAAATACTAACACCTAATTTTATTTTACTTGGTGTCCAATGTTCATTTATATTTGTTTCAGAATTATTATTAGTATTATTATTAGTATTATTTGTTGTTGTTGCTATTGATGTATCAGTTGATGATAACGGAAATTTAAATGGACGTGCTTCTGATGAAAGAAGCATTGATGATGAACGTCGATCACTACGTAAATATGTTGCTAATGTTGTACGACGTTCACGTGATGGGCGTTGTTGTCGTTGAGCATGTGATGATAAAGAATTTGATGTTGATTGAGCAGCTGATAAAGCACCATATGTACCCAATTCAAGTACAGGTAATTTTTCTTCAGATAAGATTGCCTATTATGATATAGAGATTATTTATTGTAAGAAAAAAATTTTAGTATCAATATGAATAGAGTTAAAAGATTCTCAAGATATACATATCTATTAACTATATATTGCGATTTCTATTACAAATTTTTAATTAGAATGATATTTATTTATTCTGTAAACTTCGTGCTAGAAATCGAATTTTTCAGAAACAAACCATGGACACGAATAGGGTTATTAATATTTTTAGGACTGCGAAAGACTAAAAATTCGGCAGAAAGAACGAAACTCATTGTGACCCGACCTCTCTTTTCCTCGAGGCCTGCTCATCTCGTATTACTTTCTGCCAGAGAAAGATAAATGTTGTTTCAAAATCCGTTTTCTGTCCAAATTTACCATCTGGACAGAACTCTTTTTATGGATGCCAGAATACGCTGAAGACTACAAGATGCATTAAGATTTCGGCTCAAAAGCGAACGAACAGGCGGAAATGTTTCTTACACTACTGATCAAAAATATAAGACTAACGTATTTTTTATTTTACGATTTCAAGCATTTAACTTAAATTTCAACAGTAGTTATGAAATAGCCAATGAAGTTCTCTATCAAATGCATTTCATATTGAAGTTTTACAGATGGACTGTGAGAAGAAGTTTTTCTAGAAATCTGTAGTCCATCTGAGAGGCTATTCAAACTATTGTTTAAATTTGAGTTCAATCTTTGACATCACATAAAACAAAAAAACATGAAAAATACGTTGGTCTTACATCATTATTTTAATTAATATCCATAGAATAACTTATTAAAATTTAACTTACTTCAACAATTGACGAATAAAAACTTCTTGCAACACCACTTCCTTCTCCTGGTTCATCTTTAAATGTAATTTTAACTCTTTGTACAGCTAATGGTGGTACAGATGATGATGAATTCATATTTTGATTACGATAATAATATGAATTAAGTATTCGAAATGTTTTTTGTATTAATAATATACGATCACGTTCCATCTAAAAGAAGAAATTTTCCAAAAAAAAAAAACAACAAAACTTTAATTAAATATATTTGTTTTTTTTTGTTTACCGCTTCAAAACGTATATCTTTTTGATGAGCATTTTTAAGTCTTTCCATATCATGACGAAAACGTTGTTCTCGAGCTGAAAATCCACTTGATTCATTTATTATTGATCCAAGTTCATTACCAACATCATCCAAAAATAATTTAACAAATAATTCAATTGAAAATCTCCATCGTGCTAATAAATATTCATATGAACCATTAAGAAGAATTGAATGTGATGTTTGTTGTCTAAAAATTTAAAAAAATCTTACTAAAAAAAACAAAAGTTTTATATAAAAAAAACCTTTTTCGATTAGATGATATTAAACCAGCACTTAAATCAAGTAAAACATCAACAGCCATACCTTAAAATACAAATGTTGTTGTTATTTTTTGAAAATTAATTTCTTTTTTTTTTTTTTTATTTAACTTACGATCATTATCTCGTGTTTTTGTATTTGTTTTTTCTTCATCATTATTATTATTATTATTAAATAAATTTAAATAATTTGGTTGTAAAAAATCTGGTATTGAATGTTCACGATGTGATAAACTAGGTTGAGATGGTAAATGTGAATATTTAGCATCTGTTTAATCATATAAAAATCTTCCAAATAAATCTTCTTTTCGACATATTGGTTGTAATAATTGTGGACGACATGCTAATGGTAATGAATCATCAATTGTTATTTGAAATGGATCTGGTCCTAATGAACTAAGACATAATGTTGATGATGAACGTTGAAAAAATGAATTATTTGATGTTATTATTTCTTCATTATTTGAATTATCATTATTTGTATTTATTGATGTATCATCAGTTATATCTCTTCAATTACTTTTTATTATTTGATTTGATTCATTTAAACCACTTTCACGAAAATAATAAATAAATGCATCAAGTAAATAAGCTAAATATTTATATGATAAAACATCAAGTGATGGTTCTAGATCGCCATATTCATCAGTTGAACGCATTAATGATAATGAAGAATTAAGAAAATCAAGACGATTATTAACTGGTTTATCTTTAAAGAACAAAAGAAAATAAAAAGATTTAAAAAGAAAAACAAATTTACCATTTATTGGTTTATTATTATTGGTTCGATTTGTTGTTGTTATTGTTGTTGTTGTCGAATTTTTCTTCATTTCAATTTGTTCATGTTCAACAAGATTTTTAAGAAAAAGATTTCCATGATATATTGTATCACTTTCATTATGAGTTAAATTACTTAACATCATACCAAAACGTAATTGAGATTTAAATCAATCCATTACTGTTGCAAACCATTGCCAAGTTGGAAAAAGACATTGTTCGATTTCATATAGAATTGTACTGAATGTATTTTGTTCATCAGTAGTTGTTGATTTTGTTATTATATCATGATATAAAGATGAAGCTGATAGTACTTTTGATCCACATATAAGTCAATCAATGATTTATCGAATTATAATTCCAAAAGCTCGTGCTAACAAAGCATTTGTTATATTAGCTGACATTATATTTGTTGGTTGTGTTTGTTGTTGTTGTTGAACAGTTATTGAATGATTTAAACTTATTGATGTTGCTGCAATAGCTGTTATTTGACGTCGAGAATGACTATCACCAAATAATGAACCTTGAAAAAATAATATAAATTAAAAAAAAAATACACACACACACACAATGGATTAATTATAGAAAATACTTACTTGCCATAGTTGTTTGAGCATTTAATCTCGGTACATTCAAATGAGTAGTTGCTGTTGTTAAATCAGCTGGTTGAGTATTTGATTTAGTTGTATTACTTGCTGATGGTAATAAAACTAGTCGATCATTAGTTACTGTATTTGAAGTTGGAGTTGGATTAGTTGTTGTTATTGATGTTGATGATGCAGTAGCAGCAGCTAATGTATCTCTAGGATGATCAAAAATCATTGGTTCAAGTTGACTTGTTCCATCACCTTCACCTAAAACACTATCACTTCGAACACTATCAGCATCATCTGATTCAAAATTTTCATCATCAGAAAATAACGCCATATTGTCACTACCAGTTGTAGCTGATGTTCGATGTGTATTTGTATTTGGTGCACTACAATTACTTTTATTATCTGTGTCTGATTCAGCAAGTAATTCTAATTCCATTTCATTTTCATTATCACTTAAACCAGCTGGATTTTCACGTGTTATTTGTTGATCATTTATATTTGAATTATTTATTGGATTAATTGTTTCATGTTGTGATAGTGCATCAGAATTATTATCATCATCTTAATAAAAAATAGATGAATATTATATGAAAAGAAAAAACAAAAAAGCAAAATCTGTTCAATGTACTATTCATTAATTGAAGCAACTTCTCTTCTATTAAGGCCTTTCCCCCTAAAAAAAAAGTCACTTTTCGTCAAAAATTGAAAATTGAGATAAATGCATGGGAAGATAGCCCGAGTTCCGCTCTTTCAGAAACAACATAATTTTTAATTTAATGTCTCATTTTTGGCCAAAATTTTTTATGATTTCCATTGAACAATATGCGTTTGCCAGGTAAAACGGAGAATGGTTTTCGCTTTTTCTCAGTTCATACTTTCTCAAACGCGCAAGCAAGAATTCTTCGTTCAGGCTCATATAATACCTCTGACTTTTTCTTTTGTTTGAAAGAGCATGTCAAGATGCAGTGCACTATAGGGTTCTCTTTTTCAAACAAGCTTTTTTATTATATCATATAAGAAAACATATCTGTAGAAAAATACCCATTTTTAGAGTTTTTTGAGTCATTGAACTTGTGATCCCTATTTTTCGCTTAAAAGGTAAGTATTTAAAAAAAGGACCCTATGGTGCACTGCATCTTGACATGCTCTTTCAAATAAAATAAAAAAGCTTGTTAGCGCAGCCCCTTCGGGGCTAAAATGTGGAACTCACATATCTTTAGCTTCCTTATACTAATAAACTATACTATAAAAATTCTTGCTTTATACATTTGGTGGCCAAGAAACTTAAGAAAGTAGTCTAGTGCTTGTTGCGCCGTTGCTAAGAAAATGCACTTAATGACCTTTGATCCTGGTTGCTTAGGTCTGTAATGGGAGGAGGGGGTGTCTGTAATGGTGGGCTGTCTGTAATTGGGGTCTGTCTGTAAGGGCGAGCGGGGGTTGGGGGGGGGGGGGAGCCGCAAAACTTCGACTTAAAACTTACACTCACATTTTTCATATGTGAGTTCCACAAAAAATAAATATGTTATACGAGCCTTGACAGAGAAATCTTGTTTGTCAAATATGCCATTTTTGACCCTTGTTTGATTCATATCTCTGTCAAACATCACGGTATCGGGCTGAAAATTTTACCATAGCCTCTCCACTATAGCCCCGACATATTCTGAAAATTTCATGCCATTTGAACGTATCTGAGCTGAGATCAATTTTTGAGGGGCGAGGAAGGCTTTAATTGAAATAACATCTTTTGTAATTTTCTGATCAATTATTGTACATTAAAGTACAAAATGAAAATGAAAATATAAGATTGTTTTTCTACCTTTTATTTCATTTCTATTTATCTAAAACAAAAATATTTAGTTGAACAACTTTACAATTAAATATTTCTTTGGAGATTTAATAAAATCACCAGAACCAATTGTTAGTATATTGTTATTAGAAGGATGACTAAAACATGTTTCTTCATTCCATTCAATCGCAGATGCACTTCTGACTGGTGACATCTATATTTATTTTGGGCTGAGATACGAGTCCAGATGATTCTAAGCTATTCTATATTAGAATAATGTAAGGAACAAGTGAACGATGTTATTTTCAGGTTGCAAAACACATTTCGTTAAGACGAATCATTCAAAAAGGATATTCTTTTATTAACGGAAATAGTCATATTATATTAATGGGTAACACGGTCATATTGTAGCTTATCACATGATTGATATTTAATCTCAATTTGCTGATTTTTATGTGCTGACAAATGAAGCTTCCTTACTTTTTTCTGTATCACTAAATATTTCTCTCATATTTGTCCGATATATATTTAGTATTTCATATAACAATAAACTTAGAAACATGAAATTCAGAATTACAGGAAATAGAAAATGAGAAAGGAATATATATAACTAAACTATATAACAATGGGATAGAATAAAAAAAGAAAAGTCAAGAAAAGTAGTTGGTTATGCCGTTTATAACGACTTCGTTTGTTGGAAATAACCTAAATTACATTGATTTGTTATGATGACAATATTATCAATATTTAAGTAACAAAATATTTTTTTGAAATATTCCTTCATTTTTAACAGCGTTCAGTTGAGCATCGGCAATAAGTCGATCATAAAAATCATACAAATGTCATAGCTGCACGAATACGGGTACATTATGTACTGGCATCTATTGACATATTAATATACTCCCAAAAAAATCTAGTCTTGTTCAGCTTTGAAAACTGAATCAGAAAATTGACCAAAAGTCATTATAGACCAAAACGGCCATTCGCAAAATCCGTCGAAATCCAAGTCACCAAAATCCTGCCAAAAACTCATCAACAATTTTTCCCTAGGTACTAGAATCAATATTTTCACATGATTCGATTCATAAGATGTTCCTCTTCAAAGTTATACGTGCAGTTTTTTGAAATTTTTTATTTTCGAAAAGAAAATTTGATTTTACTGAGTCCTGTGCTAAAACCGGTAAGACGTTTCTGATTTTTTTGTCAATTTCGCTCAAAAATATACTAAGAGGATGTCAACTAGGTTAGAAGCCATGGAGAATTCAATGGGGATACTGTCAAGATCTTGAACGGATTTCTGGAGGGTCTTCGGAGGTTTTTATAGATTTAGAAGGGAGATGCAAGACACGGTTCCTATGAATAAGATTTGTCTTTTGAGACATAGTAAATGTTAGTTTAAGTAGAGAAAAATTTTGTCTTATACATAGGGTGATCAAAAAGTTCTCGGAATTCACCGCATTTTGTTCAAAGAAACGACATTTCGTCCATTTGTCTACACCATATATTAGAGGCAGTTGTCGTGATATTCTGCAGAAATTTTCATCGTTTTCACTCATTCCTAAGGTACTGTTTATTTCGAAACAATAGGTATAAAATTGGTCTTCTCGGTTATTGCCCTTGTTCATTTGCTACGGGTGCTGATTATCTAGGCTACCTTGAATCTATCACCAACACCAAGAGTGTGAAAGTTCAATCTATGCTGAGTATTTCTGTGAGTCCTCAATTTACTCTATTCACATAAAAGTAGATAGTAACGTTACCATATCTGTTGCTCAAAAAACCCAAGAGAAAACTGATAGGATGATAGACCATAACTATCCTTCGTTGTTGGCTAAATTAACTAGTAATAAATTTAGGTCTTTATCACTAATATAGGCAGTATTACTAGTCACCATAGAAACGACTACACTCAGTAATGGCTCCTACATATTCAAAAGTTGGTATATCTTTTTGTTTCTGACACTGTTACGAATTAATGTCGCTTGAAGGACGAGTTTCACCTCTGAATACAAGTTCAGATGTTAATTTTGATTCAATGTTGTGATGGCAGACATGATGCTGTTAGCCACTAATAGTACCATACAAGATCTGGTTGCCACTTAAAAACCGTTTCAATTTTTTAAGGTCCAGAAAGCTGGTGAAATCCAGGAGTAAGCGAGCCGATCACATTGTTTATTTCAAACGAAACCTCAAAGGTGAGTTAGAAGGATGAAACCTCCTGTGGAATATCAAGACCACTACCTCTAATATATGATGTAGAGAAATGGACGAAATGTCGTTTCCTAGAGGAAATAGAAAGAAGTCCGAGAACTTTTCGATCACCCTATGTATATAAGCATGATGGAGAATACCAAGTATGACGTAATCGAACATACTGGGAAATAACTGAATATAGAACATATGATAACACAGTGAGAAAAAACCCAATGCGTCATGTTGGGAAGATCCAGTATATTACACATGGATATTTCCAACATTTGCAAATGTCCTAGAGCTCTACTTGAACAAAAACCTCTGAAGACCCTCCAGAAATCCACTCAAGATCTTGACAGTATCCCTGTTGAATTCTCCATGGCTTCTAACCTAGTCTGGCATGTGAAACCTCCTTCTTTTCCTCCTATTTCTTAAAACATGTTCTCCTTCTCCTCCTTTTGGCATCGGAATCCTCGTTTTCCTCCTTTTTATCAATTAAGCTTGTGAATGAGTATTTTCAATATTTTAAACAAAGCGTTTTTACGATGCTACGATTCAGACGATATTTGAAATGATTGATTATAGTACTACAACAAAAAAATATACTTTAATTTTAACGAATATCAGTCTTTATTTCAAATTTTCGATAATACAAAGTGTCATCATCACGCAATAACTGGCAGAAACTTAAAAAAATTACGTATATTTACATATGTATGTATGTCTGAGTTGTGAATGCTCCTCCTTTTCGTCTTTTTTTTCAAAATGTCTCCTTCCTCTCCTTTTTATGATTATCTCCTATTTTTCATCCTTTTCCTTTTTTGCTACAAAATTTGGCAGCCAGAACGGTGGTTTTGGTACAATTTTGCGAATTGTCTGATGCAGCTGTCTGTCTCTACGATTGCTACTGCAGGTATAACACGGAATGTGCTTTGAGCAAGCAAAATAATTCACTAGAAAACGTTTTTTCTTTGCAAATCTCATTCACGTCTTTGCATTACATAAGAATCTTATGTATATTATGGTATTTCATATGATTGTACTTTGCCTTACGCAAATATTTCTTTCAATAGATGAATGTGATACTATGATATGCTTTGATGTAGTTATTGACAAAGAAATGTTTTGCGAAAGAGATTAGTAGAGAGAGAAGTGATGTTTCATCAATAGTAGCCGAAAATAACAGCGTTTATTGTGAGGAACGAATAGTATCAAATACAAACATTTCTAATATATTTATAACAATAATAATCGCGCTTACAAAAATATACGCACATGTTTCTGCAATATTCCGTTCGATAACACGAAAAATGGCTTCTACAATTCAAATGTTATTTAAATTTTCTAGTGTTTTTGTTAAATTTTCTTCGACATTTCGTAAAATTCTGTGGCAGATTCCCTATTATGTAATCTAACAGATTTTAACATTTTGTTGATAAAACGCATCAATCGGTTTTAATGAGATTGTACTATTTACACGAGGCAGTTGCGTCTTTTCATAAAACCATAGTTTAATTTTTTAACAAAGCATCACTAATTATTTTACGCCATCTCTTTCTGATTAAAAAGTTTGTATCAAATGTTATGAAAAAAAGACTTTTTTTTTAAACATGTATTCAAAATCTAAAGTAAACATTTATTTGGAAACCGCCAATTTGAATAGCTTCTAACATGGAGCTGGACTAGATTTCTTGATGAATTAACTGTAAAAAAATTCAAGATCATTACATGAACTTGATTTTTATACCCGTATATCTATCGAATAAAAGGGTCGCAACAAGTGAATATCGTTCATTTCGAAAGTGAATTTTGTCCTTATCAATGTGACTATATGATTAGGATGCGTGTGTCCTCGATGTGCAGAACTCTTTTATATCGACTTCTGTTGAGAACTATCAGCCTTTGAAACTCTAGATGACGTTCTTGTTTCGTTCTATTCAAATCCCTCAATACATTTGTAATACGAAAATACTGTTTCTACAGCAAAAGTAATATCCTCCTTTTTTCCAAATGACCGTTCACATGCCAGGGTATGAATCAACATAAAAAAAAAGGATTCACATACGTTATTCACGAAAGAAAAAACTTCTTTTATTGAATACATAAACACAACATTCACATACACGCACGAAGAATAATATTAAGAGAAAAACATCAGCTTATTCATTAGCTTTTCCATGAGATGCTGTTGAACCAACACGTGATGGATCTTGAGATGGATAATGTACACCAGTACGTAATGATGATAATGGAGGTGGCATACTACTTGGATTAGTCTAAAAATAAACAACAATAATTAAGTTCAAAAAAAAAAAAAAAAGACAAAAACTATTTACCATTGACATATGTCCATATGATAATGATGATGTATAATCACCAAGATCTGGTGGAGGCATTGGTGGTGGTGGTAAAAATGAAGTTGTAGTTGCTGAAACACCAACATTTGATGATGATGATGACGATGATAAACCAAAAAAATCAGTTTTTAATTCATTTGATGGCATTGGAACAACTTAAAAATAACAAAAAATCTTCTAACAAAATATTTCATTTCATTTCATTTTACCTGTTGGAAGACCAGGTACAGGTTCATAATTAGTTTCAAAAGCACCTCCTTCACCTGGTCGACCACTACTTCCTTGTGCTGATGGTGGTTTACCCCATTTAACAGTTAAACGTTTTCCATCAATAACTAATGTATTAAATGATTCTTTTGCTGCCTCTTCAGCTGCATCACGTTGTGTAAATTGTACAAATGCACATGATTGTTTTGGTACAACAGTTACTGAACGAATTTCTCCATATTGATAAAAATGATCTCTAGAGAAGTATTTTTGTCAGTTGAATAATAAATAAATAAATAAATAAATAAACATACCGAAGTTGTTGTTCGTCTATATCGACAACATTTCCAATATAAAGTGTTGTTACTGTTTTATCTTCTGGTGTTTCTAATTGTGGTAATTCTTTATAACGTGATAATAATTTTTCTGCAACTGGATCATTAACACCATAAAATCGATCACGAATATTTTGATTTGATAATGGATCATCTGGATCAGTTGGTTTTTCATGTCTTTAAAATAGAATAATATTTAATTATTATTTTCATTGAAAATAAAAACAAAAATAATTCCTACCTATATGGACATTCTTCACCTCGTTTACATTCACCTTTGACATAAAATGAACATATATGAGGTTGATTTCGTTTATAATATGGTGCTGAACGAGCTAATTTCATTAAAACATCACTTGGTGGTTGTGCTTTAGCTAATTGACCATATGGTTGTGGTGTTTGTTCAAGTGCCATCTAAATAAAATACTATTTATATCAATATAAAATTAAATAAATAAGATTTATTACTTCAGCTTCAGCATTTTGTGTAAAATATTCTTTATTAACTTGACCTTTTGGAATAGTATCAGTTATTTGTAATGCTTCATCACGAACTTGTACAGGTAAACCTAAAATTAAGAATTTTCATTAACAATTTGTTTTGAATAATAAAAAAAAAAAAAACATCGACAAACCAAATTCAAGATCAAGTAAACATGTTTGACAAACATTTTTTAATTTACTACATGTTTGACAAATTTCAGTTTTTTTAAAACGCATACGAGCACCTGGACACCAACGAAAGATTGTAAATGGACGATTACAAATTTTACATTCTTGACCATATCGTTCTTTCATCTAAATTAATAAATGAAATTTAAAAAAAATAAAAACAAAAATTTACCATTCGAATATATGGATTGTCACCAAGACATGTTTGACATAAAATTGGAAATTCCTAAATATTAATTGATAGTAAAGAAATAAAATATAGGAAAATACATACTGCATCTTCCCAATTTTGTCGATTATATGTATTCGAAAGAAGAGATATTGACATGATAGGTAAGAAATGTAAGTGCGTGTGTCGTAAGAAGAAAAGAAATGAGTACAATCATTGGTAAACAATGTACGATGATGATTCTATCTGATTGATTTAACTTAATTCACTAATGAGAATATTTCAATAGAAGAGGGCGCTGTTAGATATATCGTTTTTTTGTTTCATAATATCAAAATAAAAAATTATTTAATGTATTCGATGACAAATCGATTGATATCATATGATTTATTATTACTAACGAAGAAAATTCTTCAACTGATTCATGCTATTTTGCGTGTGTGAGAGGAATCTTATTCTAAGAAAAAAGCGTAAGACGATTTTGGTTGATGGGATTTCTTTCAACACATAACTATATATTCATTGTTTAATAAAAAATAGACATATCAGTATCAATAAAATTCATATAACTCATCTGAGAACATTACTAATAGAGAGTAGATATGAATAAGACTTAGAATATCCTAAAAGAACACCTGTTCAATACCTTCTTGTAAAAAACTATAGCTCTTTTACTAAATTCTTAAGCTATAATTAGGTTTTTTAGAAAAAAAAATGAATTGAAGAATTTTTATCTGAAATTTTTATCAAAATAAATGTTTCTCTGCTTGTTAGGGCAGCTAGCTTAGAGGATATGTATGCTCTTCATTACATTCGAATTTCATACACTCTACTTCTACGATATTTTCAAGATTTCTGTTGCTACTATTTAGAATAAAAAGAGTTTGATGCAACACCTAGTAGTATTTTGAGACACATTTTGCAAAAATCATGTATTCAAAAGTGAGACTTAGTCTATATAACACGTTTGTTCTCATGTCGCCGAATGTAGAATTTAATTCTGAACAGAATAGTATGATTGTTGAATTGAAGAGTTGAAACATTAGATTATGTCGAATTAAAAAACGATCAATGATGTAATTCTACCAGAAAAGGATTTATCGAGTTTTTTCACATTTTTTACTGCAAAAATTTTAATTTGAAATATAGTGAAATCATTATGAACTATTTTTCATCATTTTTTCTTCGTTTCTTTTTTGACCATCACAGTTAGATGATTGAGTAGGTGTGTATTTTTTTGAATTTTGCAACGACAAAAACAAAGGTAATCGATTTATAGAACAGAAAATTCTATATCGAATGACTAAAAAAAAAGAAGCATTTAATGCTTTGGGAAGGACTCTAAAAAAGAGGAAAATGTTTTGATTCGTTTATTATATGTCATCCATTAATCTTATTTTAATTATTTTGTGTATGATTAAATAGCTTAGACATGGTTATTTGTTATTTCTATTTATCTATTAGTAGTACATTATGGTTGTTGTCATCAAAAAAAAGATTATTATTGTTATGTATTTGATACTACATTTTTCAAATCAAATCTCACAATCTCTATAACAAAAATGAATGCATACTATGTTCGAGGCCAGAATTTTCTATTGTGCTTGAGAGTGACAAAGATTGAAAATTTGGCAAAAAGTATCATCATTCGTCTCTCTGGAAGAGATCGAATAGAAGATGATCAAATCATCGATTTACTATTATATTTTGTGTGAATGAAAGCATGTTCGTATGAATATCTGTCAAAAGCAGAACTAAAACTGCTAAAATGTCCTTTCTTTCATGATTTACCACGAGACTATAAAAAATTTTGCAGAAAATTCGAAATTTTTGGAAAGGGAAAGGCTGCACTATCCCCTCCCCTAATCAATAATCCCGTTCTAAACAGATATAGTATAAAGATAAAAGCAATGATAATTAACTGCTCTACTACAGATATCTTCATGTTGGTACCGAATTTCCTTGATGAATAATAATAATAATAATCATCCACTTTTCTTTTTTTTTTTGGTAGTTTTTATACTGTATTAGTTGATAAAGATAACAAAACTGTCAACAAAGAGTAATCGATTATTTTTAGTTTTTTATCTTTTTTACTTATCAACACAATGACACAAAGAAATTTTATTTACATCTAAATCTGGAAATAGAATAAATATATAGTGTCTTATCTCTAATATCTTTCTACAATTGATTATCATTTGTCAACACGAGCCACTATAGGATTGACTTTATCGGTTATATATAATAGAATGTTATTTTTTTTTTCTATCATTTCCATAAATTCTTCAAACTAAAAGAATGGTTGATCGTCGTTTACTTATTATTTTCTTAGTTACAGTACTGTTTGTTTCAGTCTTACATGCTGAACGTGCTCGTAATGATCATCTTCAAGATGCAGAAGAACAACAAGAAGAAAGAGATTTCTCAGCAGATGAGAATAATGATATTTATGAAGAAGGTATAAATGATTTTAATTAAATCAATATGTTTTTTTTTACTATTGTTGTTGTTTTCAAGATGTTATTGATACCATTAAACGCTTTTTGGGAAAGAAAAAAACAACTACTACTCCAAGACCAAGTTCAGATTCACTTATAGCTTTATTTACAACTAAACCTACTATAACTTCATCAAGGCCAACAAAACCATCAATTTATGATGGTGGGTTCGGCAGAAAAACAAGTCATCGCAGTACCCCTCGTTATGGAGGTAAATATTATTTATCATTTTTTAAGAGAAAAAACTCTTTTTATAATAAAACTTTTCATAGGATATGGTAGTACAACAAAATCACCAGGTTCGTCATTCAAAGATTAGTTGTAAAATTGAATATGATATTATAGTTATTGATTTTTTGTTTATTAAGGTAAAGATGCATGTGGATATGTCAGTCCATGTAAGAATGGTGGTAGTTGCAAAACATTATCAAGTGGACGATACTATTGCTTTTGTACACAAGACTATTATGGAAAAAATTGTGAAAAGAGTAACTGATATCGATTTTTTGTATTTCTTTGCATGTTTATTATTTTATAGAATTTATATCAACTGGTTCAGCTAATGCTGATCGTGGACGTACAGATCATTGTGCTAAGTCACCTTGTCGTAATGGAGGTGAATGTGTTGGATTACGTACAACATTCTATTGTCGATGTAAATCACCTTACTATGGAACAAATTGTGATAAACGTAAAGATGAAATTTGATATTAAAGAAATATATATTCTTTTATTTCTTTTTAAATTTATCTAAGGTATTGGAAAACGTGAAGAAATTATGGATGAATCAAACGCATCTGAACAGGAATTAGAAGCATATGAACGAGATTTAGCAGAAGATACAGAAGATTTACGACGAGCTATTGCTGATGAAAATTTACTTGAAAATTTTCAATAGACTCAGCCTTTATTATTAAATGAACATTTTTAAAATATTTTCATCAATAGACATCTATCTTATTTACTATTATTTAGATATAAGTAATTCAGCTTATTAAAATTTATTCTTGATCTATTTAAATATTTGAAGTTTCTATAAACATTTTTTATAAGATCCTCATTTGAAAGTTAAAAATCAGAGAAAACAAATTTTTGAATGTAACTTGAATGAATTATTGTTAATGTCTCTTCTATCGCACGCATATTTTGCAACGTATTATAATAATGCAGATCAGAAAAATAATTTGTAACTTCCGTAGAAAAAACACGTGCATTTGAAGAAACATGCGAAAGTTTATGTTCATCAAAATGCCATCTTCGAAACAAGACATACTAATCTACTTTATCAGAAAAAAATTGTATGACCAAGGGAGACATGTTTCACAAAAAAAAAAGATGTTTCCGTATACCGCAGCGAGTACTCATATGAGTTGTGCCGTTAAGATTTACTCGCAGACAGAAGTACAAGTACTCAATATAGTACTCATCATCGTTTTTCTCCAGAATGTTTAACAAAGTACTTATGCACTAACATGTATAAAATTAGAATAATGTTGTGTAATAAAGAAAAATGATGTAATTAAATGAAAAATAGAAAAGAATTACTCTAACGGGTTATGTATTTTATTCTCTACTCTTTTCTGACGAGTCATCTGTACTGCTTTGTGAGTGACTGTTTCAAAAATAGAATAGAAAGAAAAAAAATGACTTTTGGTTTTGAACTGTTCATTTATTGAGTAATATTAAAGACTGATTTAAATACGCATATAAACGATAATTTGTTCAATTTGATCATGTCGTAAATTTTAGATAGAATATCCTTCTAGATTAATAGACATTTTTTTCAGATTGATTATGAAATTATTGAAACAAAACGACGCATAATAACTGTTGTTACAAATCGGTTTGAATTCAATATTTCGAAGAAATGTATATCAAATTAAAGGCAATTTACTTATTTTTTACTTTTTAATATGTTACTAACGAGAAAACATTCCCAACTGTCAGTCACATCACTTTTGAGTCGAATATATGCGCATCCTGTAGACCCTAATGATCTATGAATACTCTGAAAATAGTTTGTGACGCTAGCTTATTACTGCTGAGATATTGCATTTTTACTGTGTGTTTAAGAAAAAAAGCCGTTGTCCCCTCAGAAACATTAGAAAAAGTATGTTTCGAATTTCGACTTGAAACTTTGCAAAGAGATAGGCCTCAGCGTGAATAGTTTATTGTGAAAGTTTCAGATCTTTTCGTTGTTCCTATCCAAAGATACGGCTATGATAAAATAGTTTATACACACCAGCAGATTCCACGTAGGTAAAGGTAGCAGCATATTCGAGTTTTTTGCGTTCCGATTCGCTTTTCGACTTGGGTGGGCTCTCTACTTAGTTGAGTTATATGCAGAATTTAATTCTGCACATAACCCAATTAAGTAGAGAGCCAATCCAAGTCGAAAAGCGAATCGGGACGCAAAAAACTCGAATATGCTGCTAACTTTACCTACGTGCAGATTCCGATGTTCTTATTTCAGACTAAGAGCAATCAAAAGATCTGAAACTTTCACAATAAACTATTCTCATTGAGACCTGTCCTTGTACAAAGTTTCAAGTTGAAATTCGAAACATACTTTTTCTAATGTTTCTGAGGGAGACCACGGCTTTTTGCTTATACATACAGTAAAAATGCAATATCTCGGCAGTAATAAGCTAGCAGCACGAACTTTTTTCAGAGTATTCATAGATCATTAGGGCCTACAGGATGCACATATGCTCGACTCAAAAGCGATGTGACAGTTGGGAACGTTCCATCGTAAGTTCAATCAATTTATCAATCTAAAATGTGCGTTTGTTTTTTTTTTGTGATGATCTATACTATACGTTTATTGTTGTCACATATTTTAGTTTCATAAATAATTTATTGTTCTTTCTCTTTGCTAATGTTGTATCGTTCTCAATACATGTTTTTATTCACTTCTATTCTATATTCTAAAGATAAATATTCATCTCTATTCTCTATATAGAAAAAACTCAAAGTCATTTAACATATGTAATCCTCAAGTTTCATGTTTTTCTCAATGTTTCATAGTATATTACACTATTTTTTGTTATTAATTATATATTTAAATAAATTAGATAGAGCACAACTGTACTGAACAGAATATGAACCGATGAGTAATTTACACAAACCACTAGAGTACACCTAAATGATATTGAAGTACTCAGAAAACACTCAATGTTACACAGCAAGTACTCGATGGTTATACTCAGACTCTAGCACGATTACTACTGATGAGTACTCAAAACTCACGAGCACTCATGAGGACTCGCGGCATTTTCTAGCGTAAGTACTCTCTTGATGAGTACATTCACTAGGTAAGGTACGGTTTTTACTATTTTCGTTACATAAATTTGATTTCTTTAATGTTTAAAGACAATTTTTGGATCCCAAAATGTATTTAGTGGATAGATACTACTTCAATCTATACAATGGCCATAAAGAAATCAAAATTTTGAGTCATGAAATGGAGGAGAACGTACCGTTAAGGAAAGGTGCAGATATATTGAGAAATTTATATCTTAGTAGTGTAACATCTAAAATTGATGAAACTTTGTACATAAGCTAGTCTAATCAAGACCTTCACGTGTAGAAAATCTCAGGTCGATATTTTTTAATAAAATTTTTTTCGAAAAGTGGGCTCCCACAGGAGGAGTTTATTAAAAAGTGCCCATCTATCTCGACCAAAACTAACGACAGAACGACTGCGAATCATATTTTTGATCTAAAATATAGAGTTTACGATCAGAAGAAATTTTCTTGAATATATTATGAATAGTACAACTGTAAACGTTTATAATACCAATAAAAGTCTAATATGAAGATATAAAGTGTTGATATACTGTTTGAGTCTTTTTAATACATGCTTGAATAATATTTAATAATAAGCCATTGCAAACTTTTCATCAACCGCATTCTCTAGTTCACGTTGTGACTTTAGATTCTTGTTTTTAATTTTCTGTTTAATAATATGCCAGATCAGTTCAATAGCGTTAAAATCAGGATTATTCTCTATCCATTGACATAGTTCAATAGTATATTATAAGCTAGAGAATACGATTGATGAAGTTTCCAATGGCCTGTCATTAAATGTTATTCAAGCATGTATTAAAAAGACTGAGATAATACATCAACACTTCTTCTTCTGACCGTAAACTCTATATTGAGATCAATAATACAATTCGCAGTCGTTTTGTCGCTGGTAGTAAGCATGAGAGAAAAGTCTTTGGAGGTTACGCTGTTCTAGTAATCTCCTACATGTTAGCATACTATGCGAGGGAAAACAGAGTGAATCACTTAAGAATGTTTTTCGTAAATGATTTTACATGAAGAACGATAGATCTATTTGTATTTCATATTGTGCTTATCATCCATTTCAAAGATATTTTATTTATTTTTATAAAAAATAATGTTGAAAATTATCTAAATAAAACGGTGCTACAATACTGAAACATCTTTGTACATAAATAAGATCTATTTGAAAAGAAAAAATTAGACTTTAAGCATTTGAATACGAGTTGTTGTAATAAGCATTGGTTCAGTTCTTAAACGTTCCATATCTTTAACAATAGACCATGGTTCACTAATTGTTTGTCGTTCATCTCGTGCATTTGGTTTTAATTTTGGTAATTCTAAATTTTCTTCATCATCAATATTTTCAACAATTGACCAATCAACTAATGAGCCCAAATGTTTTTTTCTTAATTCTTCTTGTTGATTTCGTTGATTTAATTTTTCTAATATTTTTCCATGTTTACGAAATGATGCATCAAATGATAAATCTGGTGATATTGTTATTGTTGGTGTAATTGTTACATTTTTTTTTACATCAATACTATTTGAAGTTAAATTAATATGTGAAATAACTGTTGCTTGTATAAGATTATGAGGTATAGATGCACGACGTGGTCGACTAATTTTAAGTTCATGATTTGAACGATTGAGTATGATAAGTACAGAAACTTGACGAAGAAATTCATCCCAACTAATAACAGAAAGTTTTCTAATTTTGAAACAAAAAAATAAAAATAAAAATAATAATCAATGAATTTTATTTTTGATCGGAAAATTTTACTCGATTGTTTCATCAATATGTCGACTTTCGCGTAAAATAGCATCAATACAATCACTACCATATTTTATTCTAAAAAAGAAAAAAAAAACACATTTCGTGGAAATTTTTTTGTTTTTTTAATGTTTGATAATATTTATAAATACTTTGTCATTAATATAAGATCATGAAAAACTCGATTAAAATAATCTTTTGTTATAATTGCATTACTTTCATTATCAATTTTAATGTTTGGATCTTGAAGAAAAAGATTTTTTGCAAATACCAATTCTTTTTTACTTAATTTTGTTGTTAATTCAGTCTTTAAAATAAATAATTATGTAAATAGAAAAAAAAAAAAACAATGATTTATTACAAATAAACTATTTACTTTATTTTTTGCAGCAATTAATTTACAACTATAAAAATGTGCAAAATCTGACCAAGCAACAGCACCTTTTTTTCTTGAATCCATGAGATAAAAATGTAATCTTTCCATATCTTCATTATTATGAGGAAATAGGCTAACATTATCTTTTATCTTTTTCTTTGAACAAAATGCTACAAACTCGTCCAGAATAATATAACCATCTAAAATAATCAAATCTATCAATTCATATTTTCTATTATTAAATAAATCTAACCATTATTTCGATCCATTTTTTCGAAAGCAGAAATTAAATAACTAACTTCTTCTTGAGTAAGTAAGCTAGTAAGATCTCCCTAAATAAAATTTAAATAAAAAAAACAACAACAACAAATAGACAAAGAACATACACAATCTGGACAAGACCAATCTTGTTTTGAAAGACGTGGTAATGTAAATAATGGATCACTTACATGACCTCGTT